AAAGAAAAAAATTTATGGCAGTATCACCAAACAATTTTATAAATTTATGCTGTGTTATTTCGATGTCACAATTAATGGACTTTGCTTTAACATTTCTTTAATTTTCGATCGTTCCCATCGCCACACTTTCCCGCCCCTGCCGACCGAGGGGGCCACCTCCCCATAACGAAGGGAGCGCGTACACCCTATAGTCCGAAATATAGGGGGTTAGTAGGCTAGGGGAAACCGGCTACAGTAATTATCAGCCGGCTAAACAATAAAGTACATTAATATACACAATACAGACATATAGACTACAACAAAACTAAAATCCAATTAATTATTTCTGGCAACTGTTTCTACATTTTAAGAACACAAGATAGATTTTTTTATAACATGCAAGGGTTCAGATAAAGACATTATATTGTATAGTTTGTTATATTCATCACATAAAGACCGCAGAGGATTACATAGTTCGTAATTAGATTTTGCTATTGTCAATTTAAGAGGCAAGTAGTTTCGCGTGCTACGCGAAGGGACATTAAAGTTTATTTCGCTTAAGAGAAATTCAGATTGAATTTGCCCGCGCAAGAGTTTTATTATGAAAATGCATCTTAGCATTTGACGCCTTTTGTGAAGTGACGGAAGATCTATAAGTTTTAAGCGATTTTCATAAGGTGGAAGAGCTTCATTCGAATTCCATCCTAAGCCTCTAAGAGCAAACAGAAGAAATTGAATCTGTACAGATTCTATCTTGTCAGAATATAATTTATAGAAGGGACTCCAAAGTACACAACCATACTCCAAAGTTGGTCGAACAAGACTAATGAATAAACGTTTAGTAACATAAGGATCATCAAATTCTTTAGACCAACGTTTTATAAATCCAAGCAACGACTTGGCTTTATTAACACAAGAATCTATATGTAAATTGAAGCTAAGTTTTCTATCCAGAATTACACCCAGATCTACAAAGGAGTCTACATTATCCAATTTATATGAGCCAATAAAATAGTCACTTTTAACAGGCTGGGATCTATAGAAAGATAGCTTTTTACACTTTTTTAAATTTAATGACATCCCATTTTCACTACACCAATTCACAAGACAATTTAAATCGCATTGAAGATTATTTAATTGGTTATAAGACTCGAGATTAGAATATAATTTAACATCATCAGCAAACATCAAAATTTTAGAGCGACGAATAACAGATGGAAGGTCATTTAAGTAAAGTACGAAAAGTAGTGGACCTAAATGACTACCTTGAGGAACTCCTGAGTTTACATTTATATTATTAGAAAGAATATCTTTAAATGATACTTTTTGGGTACGTTTCTGTAAATATGTCAATATCCATGATAAGAGTATTGTAGGAAACCCCATGGAATCAAGTTTATAAATTAATAATTCATGTGCAACGGTATCAAATGCTTTACTGAAATCTGTATAAATAACATCAGTTTGACACTTATTTGAAAAACCATTGTGCACTTGACAAGTAAGTTCTAATAAATTCGTCAAAGTAGATCTAGCTCTAACAAAACCATGTTGTTGAGGTGATATTACAGGTGAGACAAAATGAGTTATTCTACGTGTGACCAAAAGCTCAAAAAGTTTGGGAATAGCACTTAGTTTTGCTATGCCTCTATAATTTTCAATAACACATCTACTATTGGATTTATGTAAAGGAATAATATAACTAGAACGCCAAAATAGAGGAAAGTAACCTAATGTCAATGAGTCATTAAAAATTGTCGTTAGTGGTCTATAAAGTTCATGAGCACATGAGATTAAAATAGATGTTGGTACACCATCAGGACCTGGTGAGTTAGAATATTTCAATGATAATAAACCGTTTAATACGTCAGTCTCCGTGAATGTGATACGAGGGAACTGATTTAGCTTATTAACATTATAAGGGTAAGTAGTAAAATTTGAGGTAAATTTAGAGTAGGTATTCTGAAAGAATTCTGCAAACATATTTGCGATTTCTTTAGGGTCACATGATTCTTTACTCCCGAGCTTCATGTTTCTAGGATATTCCCGGACTTTTCTCTTTGAATTCACGAATTTGTAAAAATATTTTGGATTTCGGTTTAAGTTAACTCTCACTCTTATTAGATAATTAGAATAACATTTAGTATTTTGAATGTTGTAGATATTTCTGGCTATAGTGTAATTACTAAAGTTTATCGTTGTACAGCATTTTTTAAATTTTTTAAATAGTCTACTTTTTACATTTCGCAACCGTCTCAGATGTGGGGTAAACCAAGGTGGGCCAAGGAATTTGGAGCAATATAAGAGCACGTAAGAATAAACGTATTATTTAAATAATTTAGCTTAACACAAACAAATTCTATATTAGGACATTCTGTAAGCAAAATGCGCTCCGAGGCAATAGAATTGTGGACGGCAATGAATACTCCTCCACCAACTTTATTCAATCTGTCTTTCCGGTAAATTTGGTACTGATCAGACAAAATCTCAGTGTCACGTATGCCTGGTTTGAGCCAAGTTTCCGTGAAAACGAGAATTTTGAAATCACAGCAAAAGGATTTTAAATAAATATTTTTCAGTTTAGAATTAAGGCCCCTTACATTTTGGTAAAGAATAGATAGAGAATTGATTAGTTTTTTGAGACCGGCACACTTGAAGGGATCTTGACAGGTTTATTAGCATTAGTTTTCTCTCTAAACACAAATTCCTTTACAAGAACACCATCTGGCCAAAAAGATCTATTTAACAATGTATCAAACATATCATGAGGCACGATTATTTTGAACGATGATATATCTCGTGGTAATGACGAATTAAATTTAATAATTCTACAGTCATTATCACCCAGGTTTTGCACTTTAGATTTTAAGTAATTAGATATGTTATTTATAGTTGTATTGGAATGTAATCTAGATATAAAAATACTTTTCCTGGGAGCAACTACAACTAGTTCATTACTACTCCCAGATTGACAAGGACCAATTACAGTTTTTGCGGATGAATTAGGAGCTGAAGCATCAACATTTGAAATAGGATTAACAACTATTGATGGTACAATCGGACTTAGAGGACCTAAGGGCATTATGGGTACGGATTCAGAAGATGGAGTTTCAATCGTTGAGTTTGTTTCGGATTTTTTATAAACTTTGGGTTAATGTAATTTTTATTTCTGTCAGTGACTGCTACTTTTTCAGGAATTTGTTGAAAGTAATCATCATCATATTCAAAATTCACGTTTTGGTTATGATGGCTCACATTACCATTTTCCGGCCGATAGTAATCATAAAAGGTTTCCTTCGGCATACAGTCAGTATTTATTTGGAAATTTACTCACTGGAGCTTGAAAAGATTCTGCTGGTCTTTTTACTGCTAAATTGTTAGGTGGTCTGTTAATGTAATTGACATGGCGGCTTGGATTGAATTATCTATATCCGTGGGCTCTTGTAGTCGATTTTGAAGACTATTTGGGAAATCTGAATTGCTTCTAATGTTTTTAGGAAGGTTACGGTTGTGATTGAAGCTAATATTACTATTGAAATTTGGATTAACGCTAGAGTAAAAGTTTGGGCTGTGGTTTAAATTCTGATTGCGACTATAAGTCGGATTAAAAATCGAATAATTGTTTGGGTTACGGCTAAAGTTTGGGATGATATTACGCCTAGGTGGAAGAGGTGGTCTCGAGGACGGTGTTCCACCAACATTGGCAAGTTCAGGATAAAATACTCTTTCATTATTAAAAGTCACCGTACCGATCCTATCCTTTTGTATATTATTTCTGATAGATTCTCCATGGGCATAATTTCTCCTAAATGTCATATTGTCCAACTTTAGACAAATATGTAATGCATGTTGCAAGGATGTCGGTTCGCGTACGCTCAATAATTTTGGCAAATCTCCATTCAAACTCCTTACAAACGTATCTAATGCTTTTTTCCTGTAGGTGTTTGTCATAGCGTGAAGGCTACATTCTTCCAGATCTAGAGAAGAGACTTTATCAAATAATAGAGAAAGGTGCTGGTAAACAGATGATCGGACGATATCTGCAAAGCCTCTTTTATCATTAGGGATATCTGTTCCATTTGTAAAATTTGTGTGGTAAAAAAATTTATACAATCTTAATTCTTTCTATTATTTATTTTTTTTTGTTGCTTATTTTTTTCTTCTTTACTTTATATTTTGTTTATCACTGACAGTTATAAATTTTTATATTTTTTTTGTTTTGTGTTTCTTTATTTATTTATTTTTCTTTAGCTATTTTGTAAATATAGATTTTCACTGTACATTTATCTTTCTTTTATTTTAATGTTTTTTTATGTTCACTTAAAGCTTTATCTTTAACTGTTTCTTACACTAAATCACGGTCGCTGATCTACTTTGAGACCTCCGTTTTACTTCTTATTTTATGAAGAGGTTGCTAAGGCGCGATCCGCGATCTATTTATTGTTTTCCCGGAAAACTCTTTTCCCGAGGGTTTTATTTTACGAATAAGGACCTTTTTTAAGGGTCCCTGCTCAGGCGCCAATTAAGATTTTTTAAGTTTAAAATAGTTAAAAAAATATATTTTTTTATGTTTGTTAACCTATGGTTGACACAACCTTTACTGACTGCAATGAATTTACAATTATTATTCCTAAAGACAACTATCTAAACTTATAAACTGCTTATTCTGCATTTCCCACCATCAACTCACTCATGCAATTGTTGCGCGTGTGGATACAGTTTCATTTGGAGTTCTTGCTTCGCGTGTGGATTAGATTTCACCTGGGAACGTAATCTTGCTAAATCGGCAGGTTCAGCATTGGCACGTTTGGTTGGTTTGACTTGTTGTTGTTTGGTTTGAACTGATTATGTTTCCTCGTTAACTTACATAATTGACACGATATTTAATCAATTATACCAAATAATTGTTTTATTTTTCGAGTTGTTGTTATAAGATCAATTGTCTTAGCAATTCCTAATATTCTGTATATGTAGATTTTTGATCGGTGTGCCTTCACTTACTTACTTTTTTCTCTTTTCAGAATTGGGAATTAATGAACACAGCTGTTTTGACAGGACGTCAGGTGGCACAAGCGATGAAAGTTTTTATTGTCTCTCAAGGAGGAATAGTTGCAGATGTTACTTTACAAAGCTCATGTTATGCGGAAGACGAGAGCGTTATAAAGGTAGGTTCGAAGAAACCTGTATTTTTGGGCAACATTGAAGGTTTGTATCAATTTACTTTGCTTTCCGAGATCAATTATATGCATAATTAGTAACATAACATAAATAATTAGATGTGTGTTACTTAATCAACTAGAATATACTAGACAACTATTTCGTTCAAACTCTGATTACATTGGATAGGTCAGTAATATATGTTATTTAAATAACGCTTTTATATATCATGTCTAATTTTATTTTATTTTATGGAAAATATAATGATGGAATGTAAAATGCATATGAAAACCTAGCTCGAATTGATCTAATGCTAAAACGGTTATCGCGGCTTGAAGGCATCTAATGCTAACATGTATGTACAAGCAAATAAACATATTGACAATAAAAGTTATAGCATCCACGACAAAAAAGATAATATAAAAAGATAACAATCATTTAAAAAGATTAAAAGCAAATGTCAATATCAGATTCTAGTACTTAGGAGATGATAATATATCAGATTTTAATCATATAGGTGTTAATCACATTCTCAAATGTACCAAATAAAATCCCAAATGGGTGAATACAACGGCATCTAGAAATATTTTTAATTTTTTTTTCAGTAATTGGAACAGTGGTCGAAACAATTATCCTTACCTCAAAATAATTTCCGAAATGGGTAAATACGACGACATCTGACAATATTGTTAAATTATTACCGCAATGGAGAGTACTCTGAATGATGCTAATGTTGCTTCGACAGAATTGTCCTTATGGGAACAGGAACAGTGGATGCAACAATTACCCTTACTCCAGGATAATGTTTGAAATTGTTTAAACTTTTCTTACTGGAACAATAGTCGAACATAATGAATGGAGAGTCTTCTTTGTGAACTTTCAAATGCAGCCGGCAATCAGTGATGCCAACATTTTGAGAGCTAAAAGCGTAATTAAAAACCAGAAAAGCGTAAATGGCGTAAAAATTTTCCTTAAAAAAGCGTAAAAAGCGCTATGTATTTTTTTCTAACCAAAATTGTCAATAAAACACTTTTTTAAACTAAATACTGTTTTATTCAAAAATTTAGATCGTATCTTATATAATCATTTCATTAAACAAACGTTGTTTTTATAAAAACAACAATAAAGAGATAAAGCCTGACCATTTTGCAACAACAAAATAAACATTTCATGTATATAAGCGCATACATATTTTTAAACAAGTAAAAAAGCAGTAAGTTCGGCCTGGCCGAACTTTGAATACCCTCCACCATTAAAAACGAATTAGGAAATTTACAAAAAAAAATCCATTAAAAATTCTGTTAAAATCTACAAAAATACCCAATATCGGAAGATGCCGATATATTGAGGATATACGATATTGTGGACCTATTCTATTTCAGGGGGTAAAGTTCTCACAAAGAACTCCTTGTGTAGAATTGCAGACAATTCCATTGAAAAAATGTGTCTTAAATCAACAACAACATATATAAATATTTCATGTATATAAGTGCATACATATTTTTAAAAAAATATGATATATTAGTTACATTTTACACGTGGTTAAAACTTGCAGACAAACACATTTTTACAAACAATTATGTTCCATAGCTTCAAATTCAGTTGAAGTTTTGTAAACTCGTACAAGAAAGCAGCCATGTATAAACTTACGTTTTTTCTCGTTCATTTCACTTTTCCTTCAATTGGTTTATAATACACAAAATTCTTCATTTTATTATGGTTTATTAAAAAAGAGTAAACAAAAGAACTTCAATGACAGGAATGACACGTAAAGAATTTGTAAAGAACTTGCGACAAGTAGATGTCATACTATCAAAATATTCGAATATATAAACATTGTTATGTTTAAAAATCTAAAACGCGCTAAAAGCACCAACAGAAAAGATGAAAAGCGTACGTACAGTGCTTTTTTTTCGTTTCGCGCTATGCCCACTATTTTGGCGTTTTAGGGGGTCTAAAAAGCACCATAAATAGCGCGAAAAGCACTAAGTTGGCATCGCTGCCGGCAATTAGAATAAATGATGGTTGTAGTATTTTGCAAAAGTAATAGAAAATATAATGTACGTTTGTAGTTTTTTTTTTTAATAGTATATTTGATTCAAAATATAGGTAGGTTTTGATAGTTCTGTTTACTTTAACAAAATTCTGTTAACTGAAATGTTTTCAAAGTAGCTTTGTGGGTCTGCTAGTTAAATACGAATTTATCGACATGCTTAAATATTGAAACCCCATAGCTTTATTTGAAACTAGCTGACCCGGCCTGCGTTGCCCGCCCGTACATTAAGCCTTTAATGTATATTTTTAAATATAATAAATCACCGATCTGACTTATGTAAGCGGCACAATTTTTATTGTGTATTAATAATGACTCCATAGTAATTTCTAAATAGAAATAAATATTCATTGGAAAAATTATAATATATGTTCACCTACCCTCGGTTTTAGATATTTTGAATAGCCTGATCTTACTTTTTAGCCATAGGCTTTAATTTGAGTGTTAAACCCCTATAACCCCATCTATAATAGCCCCATGTGAAAACTCAGCTCAATTTTTGGTATTATAAAGAGCTTAGTAACATTTTTCATTTGAATGGAAAAATTTTAATTTATATTTTCAACGTTTAGAATACCGTGCTGCGTGGTATTAAGTTTTGTCCACCTCATAATTGAGGGCAGAATGATTTCGGAATAGTCAAAGATAATTACTCTCTTACACCCATTTCCGTAAGATGAGAAATATTTTTTTTTGTTATTTATATTAAAGTCCATATATTTCATCACAGTATAATTCAATGACGATTAAACAAATGTTCGGTCCCGTGTTACTTTCTCATATTCGTAATTTTTTTCATGTTTCTGCCACAGTCTCCGACTGAATGAATCCCAGTGTGACAATTTGGTGTTTATTTTCTATTCATAACACACATTATTTGGGAAAGTAGACTTGTGGGTACACTAATGTTGGGACTATACTTAAAAAATGCCTATATGGACAATTATCTTTAAGATGGTTCTCTAAATACAATTTTTTAGAGAAATCAATTGATGAATGTGGTCAAGACCAAGATGGATTGAAATGGAACATTTTATACGAAAAGGTTCTCTACCCCCATTAGAAAGTAAAATGCGAAATAAGGGCCAGAAAAATGAAAAAAGTGTCCAAGATCCCGAAATAGGAAATAATAGATGTTTATACCAACACGTGATCATTTTTTGCAAGTTTGGTTTCTTCTCAAATTACCAACATTTGCCGAAATTAGTATAAAAAATATGCTTAAAATGTAAAGTATACTTGAAATCGGGTTGTAACGTTATACGGGGGTTATGACCCATATCATGTCTTGCAAAAGCGATTTAAGGTATCATGAACATTTAGAAAGAATTTTTGGAAGGATAGAAATCCTTTCTTACTTTTACTTTGTTTATGAAAGATCGCCATTTAAAATCGTATTGCGCACTCATTTCATTTTTAATATAATTCATATACTTCAATTGAAAAAATTTCACGCTATTTTTTTTTCATTCACAAGATACCATTCCGAATTGTATGAAAAAAACTAACATAACTTTCATTTATATGCTGAAAATAATTCTTTAGTTTGCACACAAAAAACGATTGAATTCAATATAATAAGCTGAATTGAAAAAAAAATCGGAAAAGAACAACAAATTGAAAAAAGAAAAGAAATCTTTAACTTGTTCGCTGTTTTTTACAGCAAATGTTTCAGGTCCTTACGATCAATATTATTATTTTGAATATTATTATTAATATTATTATTTTGAAATTCGATTTTAGAATTTTTGCAATGAAAAAAAAAAAGTAATTATACTTTAAGTTGGTGTGACCGCGTTAAATTATTTCGACACTCAAAAAATCGCGTCAATTAACTGAAAAACATTTTGTTTGAATATGTATCAGAGTCGGTTGTCCGTTGCACACCTTTGAAGTACTGTCCACATCCATTTTATAATAATTGATATATTTATAGTAATGTAATCAATTGTGAAACAGTTTCCTCCACAGTTTTAAATATAAAAATAAATATCGGTGTGACTGCAAATATTTGCCAGTTCTGTATTATTATGCCCTACACCATAGTATGCAAGGTATATTAATTTTGTCATTCCGTTTGTAACACCTCGAAATATAAATGTTTAATGTATATCCGCAGCGCGAAAACTTCCCACTTCGTGGTAGCTGACCCGGTCTGCGTTCCCGGAATTTCTACGTTTATTCATAGAGAATAAGCTGGCTGTTGGCAACTTATTCTACTTAAGTTAACTTACAACTAAAATTTTTAGCTAATAAATTTTTTATCAAGAGATGAAGCCATGTTTAAATCCCAGAACACTATTTTTTATTACCCATTACTCTAATTTATTATGAGTTTTATTCACAAGAAAAGGAACAAAAGTATTATGCAGAAAATATAAGAACCGTGGCAACCAATTTAAAGTTTTTGTTGCCATAAATAATTCGACAATAAAACATGATACACGGACATGTTGATTAGGAGGTACCTTAATTGGTACCAGATTATGTTAATGAAGTTAGGACGTGAGAAGACATTTATTTAGGCCCACCAAGAGATCGTGCTTACCAATACTGCCCAATACTTTCGTACGGAGTAAACTTTGGATAAGTCTCCGGAGCTTAAAGCCGAGTATAGCCGGATTCTACGGGGAGACTGATTTGAATCATACGCAGTCGTCGCAGTGTCTCATAGGGAGAAACTGGACGAGAAGCAGGCGTCGTTCTACTTGACGCTCCATTCGGTTGTAAGGTCGGATATCAAGTCAGTTAAAGTAAAAGTAGTATTCAATGGGTCAAAGAAGAGAACAAGCGGGTAATCTTTAAATAATATTCCTCCTCCCTTGAATAACTTTAACTGCAGATTTAAAAATTGATTTTCACTGGTGACATACAAAGAGATGTATCGCCAGTTATAAGTCCAAAATCATAAAAAAAGAATTGCTAAAACCAAGACAATTCGATTTATCTAGTATA